GTGTGTGTGTGTGTGTGTGTGTGTGTGTGTGTGTGTGTGTGTGTGTGTAAATGGGACCCTTCTCTACAAAGTCCACAGATCCCCTATAAGCTCCAACTCAGGGTCAAGTTAACATTTTGGCTAGTTAACAAGTAACAAGGTCTTCCATTTCTGCACCCCAATTTATTTAAACAAACTGCTAATCAAAACTGATACAATTTTGTTTTACTGTTTTGTTTTTAAATGAGGATAATCTGATTATTACTGAAATTACATGCTAAAATGTATTTTCAATTAGGATAAGGTAGGGTTCAGAATTATACTTCACAGGTCAATATACTACCAGTTTTCTCTGTGAGAGGAGTTTAAGAATAACAGTTAAAGGCAAGTGGGGCATGGTGGTACGTGTACATAAACAGTACCTCAGCAGCTGTGGCAGAAGATCATGAGACCAAGCTGAGCTGTACAGGAAGCCCCTGCCTCAAACAATAGAAACAGGGGCTGAGGATGACAGGTCCTTGCCTAAGCTATACAAAGCCCTGGGTTCTGTGCCTGGCAAAACTGTCTTGTGGCATGCCTGCATCTCAGCACCTGGGAAGTAGAAGCAAAAGGATCATGAGTTCAAGGTCCTTTTTGGCTACCTAGGGAGTTCCAGACCAGCCTTGGTCACATGAGATACTGTCTCAAGAAGTAAATAAATACATGAATAAAAATAAAAACAATGAATAACAAAATCCTCCATCCCCAAAGAATTAGTTATTATTGTACACCCAACCCAGGGCAATAAAGCCAGTTAAAAATACCATGCAATCTGCCACGAGTAAACGCCTACAGTTTGAAGAGATGGACACCAACACACGTGAAGTGATGTTGCTAGTCATCTGTCAAGTGTACCTCATACATCCTGGAGGCAATTGTAAGAATTAGACTAAGTAATGAAGAAAATTAAGTGTAAGCTTTCTAATTTTTTTCTCTCTTTTAAGGGACCAGTTTCACCAAATAATAATAAAACAGCCCAGTTCCCTCTGCTCATGATAAAATTAGACAACAAGAATACTTACACAGGACTGGAATTCAAAGAGCAATGATCCACCATCATCTCTGGAAGGAAATCCAACTTAAACGCAGCCATCACCTCACTCTCCCCTTCAGAAGCCAATGATAATAACTTGCTGCACTTGTCTGATCCACAAATACACACAGCTTTAGCTTCCTGGGCCCCACAAAAAACACAAAGTGGAAACGGAGCTCAGGGAAACCAGCAGTAAGTGCCACAGAAAGAGGCAGGTCTGGGAACGGGGAAGGGAAAGGGTGTACTAGACTAAAATGGGGGCGCGACCATGTGAAGGGAGCTCAGCACAGCACACAATGGAAGTGCTGATGCACCAGGCTTGTTTTGTATGATTTTCCCTGGCGAAGCAGTACTAAGTGCACTGTCAGATAAATAGTGTGTCAGATTCATGAAGATAGTGTAGCCAACAAAGCAGAAGAAACACAAACTTGTTCCACATCCTCCAAAGTCCTCACTATAAATCAGTATTTAAGGTCCCACAGAGCTAAAATTACCTGAAGGAAAAAGTAAATAGGCAAAACAAAATGACAACAAAAAGCAACCAACCAAGAAAAAACCCCACCTCACCTCATGTGGGTAAGACATTTTTAAAAATGTCTTTAAACTTAGTTTTCCATGTGTATAAGACAGCAATGGGCACAAGTCCTGAGTCCAAATTAACCCCAAACAGTCATTAAAAAAATAACAGTAAGGCCAACAAAAGGCCAGAGGCAAGCTACTGGACGAAGTGGTCATCTAAACCCCATTGTTGCCCAACTACTTCCACTGGACTGGCCCTGTTCTTTTTAATAGTGTTGAGGGTAAAGTGATAAATCAGTCGCTCTGCAGGCAAGCCTTTAAAAAAAAAAAACAACAAAAAAACAAAACCTTGGTTCACTATCACTCATTAGATAGACAAAGGCAAAATTTCCTTACTAATTCCGAATCTTAACTTATCAGAAATTAAAAGAAAAAGTAATAGTCTGCCTTGGTCTTAAAAGAACACTAGGATATAATCCCCCCCCCCCCATTTTATGCCAGCCTTTTTTTCTTTCCTTTCTTTTCTGTGACAGAATCTCAAATATAGCCTTGGCTGTCCTGGCCTCAAACTCAAGAGATGTACCTGCCTCTGCCTTGTAAGTGCTGAGAGTAAGAGTGTGTGCCACTACTCCCATCATCTGCTGGCCTTTCTAATGAAATAAAAAAAAAAAAAAAAAAAAAAAAAAAAAAAAACA